CGACGAACCGGGCAAGATTGGCGGTGTCGGAACGGTGCTGGGACGGCATGGGATCAACATCACCTTCATGCAGGTGGCCAGCTTGGACGGAGAGGAGAGGAGAGCAGAGGGCGGCAACGAAGCTCTCATGATCTTGGGCGTGAAGGGAGAGATTGGCGGTGGAGTTGTGGAGGATTTGCAGCGAGCCGAAGGAATCCTGAATGTGAGCTTGGTGAGGCTGTGAGGAGGTGTCGTTGGTGGTGATGGTGGTGGTAGTGATGAGTGATTATGTGTGTAAGTGAGAGCTTGTCTCTAGGGCGCCCGCAATTGAGGAGAATAAGGTCAAGTGGGTTGCAGTTGCGAGGAGCCACTTGAGCAGCTGCAGGAGCTCTCGTTGAGGTGTGAGGTGGCCCCCCACGAGTTCGCGGAGCTTGGCAAAGGTTGAGATCCTATTGGCGAGTTGAGGGGCTCTATGAACAGCGTTGGAGACTGTTGGCGCAGGGCAGTGCAAGAAAAAAAAAAAAAAACGCGACCCAGACAAGGCCATTTGAATGCCTAACTAGATAGGTAGACGGGAACCCTGAGCAACAAGGTTTTGGGCAATTTCGCCGACGCAGGTTGTGCCACCATATCTCTCATCATCAAGCCCACAATTGCGTGTTGCAGAGAGTTGACAAGATTGAGCTCGGGTGCCGGCAGAAGGCGGGCAACGCGACGTTGTTTCTGATTGGGTTTCGCCCGGCTCGATGCCTCCGACGGCTGGTGCAACTCTTGCGACAACCCACAGCCCGGCAAAGGACGGGACGCACGAGAGAAGAAAAAGCAGGTGGCGCGGAGGATTTCTAGAAGGAGGATCGTTCACAGCTCAGGGTCTGTGAGGGAATGACGCAGGGTCCGAGGTTGGTGACAACTCGCTGACTCCATGTCAGTTTGGTCTGGACAGCTCATTGGGCACGTGGGCACTTTTCATGTAAGTGGGCACTCAGATAAGGTCGGGTCACTTAAAAGTTAAGGGTAGGCCACAGCATGCAAGCCGTTACCTTATGTACCTGGATTGTGGACATGTCATCCATGGATGCATAATTTGTACCCCTGCACCACGCGATTAAGGTGAGGTACCTGCTGGCGAGCTGCTCAGAGCCGCCCTCTGAAAGTCGAGAACTCGGGGCCAGGGACAGGCTACTGACAGGGAGCCCCAATCGCGCCGAACTGAATGTTAACCATGACTCTGGGTCGAGAGCTTCTGATCGTGTGTCAGTCAGCATTTTAGCTCTGTCAGACGTGTGTGTCTGTTTATCTATCGTGTGTCGATGCAGAGCACGACCCGAGATAAGGATTGGCAGGTTGGCCAAGACATGTGCTGTCTGTCTGTCGTCTGCTGTAGCTACCTTAGCTACCTTGGGTTGTCAGCTTTGGAAAAGACTCAAAGCGACGGGAGGCAGGTATAAGGTATGCACAGCACACTCAATTACCCCGGATTCTGCACAAATGCCTTGTGACGAGACATTTTCCGTTCTTGCGCCAAAAGAAAGGCGGGGGGCCAAGCGAGACGAAGGATGGGCTTTTTGGGTTTCTCGCGCCAGCCGAATAGCCGTCCAGCGCAAGTCCAGCAGTGCATGCCAGTCAGATTTAACCCTTGTGTCTACAGCAGAGATACGGATACATGCCACTGCCAGTGCCGGTGCGGGAGGTTGAAGGTCACTGCGGCAATGATGCATCATTCGCGCTCCTCGCATCGCTGCAGCCCGCCCCCCTCGACCGTTGATGACGCCAAGCTTGTGCGCCTCAGCGAGCCTTGATTGGCTGGCTGCCCGCCGACAGAGGAAAGCTTCCGGCAGCAAGCAATGGCAGTGGCAGTCGACCTCCACTAACAGACAAACGCTGAACAGACCTCTCTGATTTTTTTTTTGTTTTTTCTTAATTGTCATCCATCTCCGGTACTTACCTACCGGTCTATACCTACCTACACCTCAAACACCCAGCTACCGTACCTACAATCCTACGATATTTTCTTCTTCATCGCTCCCCGTTGCTTGCCGACTGCAGCAATACCTGCGCCTCGAACCACCACCCACTGTTGACACCCACCTGGTCTTCCGATCTTGGCTCGTCAGTGGAGCTCACCCGCCTTGCCTGGTGCACTTGCGTACGCACCGCAGCTGCAGGTAAACACAGAGTGGAGCCGAACCACCCTGAGTGCACCGAGAGTCCACAGCCTGAGGTCGTGCTGCCCCGTTTCTCTGTTGCCCGCGTCCGCCGCATAAAATGTGCTTGACCTTGCGTCCTCTTCACTCGCACACTCCACGTCTATTTCCACGACTACCGAATCTCTCTTCAATTGACGAGCCGACTATGGCCACGACACGGCCGAGAAGCTATGGCGGCTCCTTTGGCACCATCCGCACCGGCGTCCTTGGGATGTCCAGGGCCTTGACCCTGGGCATCTCCTCTGTCGCCGCTGCCCCCATCTACGCGAGAGGCGAAGGCGAATCCGAGGGTCCAGCAGAAGGCGACGATGTCTGGATTCTTTACGTTGCCTCCATGATTCTTGTCCTCGCCGGAGGCGCCTTCGCTGGCTTGACCATTGCGTAAGTTGATCCAACGCCTCCTACTGATTGCCCCCATGCCTGTTTGCTGACCTTGGCCAAAACAGCCTGATGGGACAGGATAGCATCTACCTCCAGGTCCTTGCTGGCGACCCCGACGAATCCCAATCCAAGAACGCCAAACGCGTCTACGATTTGCTCAAGAAGGGAAAACATTGGGTTTTGGTTACTTTGCTATTGTCCAACGTCATCGTCAACGAATCGCTACCTATTGTGTTGGACCGCTGTCTCGGTGGAGGTGTAACCGCCGTTGTTGGCAGTACCATTCTCATCGGTAAGTTTTGCAACTCCCCGACTCCGAGCTCAACATCAGCTAAGCATTTGCGCAGTCATTTTTGGCGAAGTCGTTCCCCAATCCGTCTGCGTCCGTTACGGCCTCCCAATCGGTGGCTTCATGTCCAAGCCGGTGCTCTTGCTCATGTGGCTTATGGCGCCCATTGCTTGGCCCATTGCTAAGCTTCTCGACTGGGCTCTCGGCGAGGACCACGGCACCACATACAAGAAGAGCGGTCTCAAGACGCTTGTCACCCTGCACAAGTCGCTTGGCGCGGCGGGTGAACGTCTGAACCAGGACGAGGTGACCATCATCAGCGCCGTTTTGGACCTGAAGGAAAAGCCTGTCGCGAACGTCATGACCCCCATGGGCGATGTTTTCACCATGGCCGAGGACACCGTGCTTGATGAGAAGACCATGGACATAATTCTGTCCGAGGGCTACTCCCGCATTCCAATTCACGCCACTGGTAAGCCCACCGATTTTGTCGGTATGCTCCTTGTCAAGATCCTCATCACCTACGACCCCGAGGACGCCCTGCAGGTCAAGGACTTCCCTCTCGCCACCCTTCCCGAGACACGCCCCGAGACGAGCTGCTTGGACATTGTCAACTTCTTCCAGGAGGGCAAGTCCCACATGGTACTTGTTTCCGAGTACCCTGGCGCCGACTATGGTGCCATCGGTGTCGTAACCCTTGAGGACGTCATCGAGGAGCTCATTGGAGAGTGAGTAATCTGTCTGGCGCTTCTCATATGTTGCTAACTCATTCACAGGGAAATCATCGACGAGTCTGATGTCTATATCGATGTTCACAAGGCTATCCGCCGTTTGACCCCTGCGCCCAAGGCCCGACCCATTAAGCGATCCACCGAACCGTCGCCCCGGGTGATTCCTGAGAACGGCGATCTCATTGAATTCGACGGCGAGGTTCCCCACGAGCGCAATGGCTCTGTCAGCGCCATGAGCGACGCGCCTCAGCACCTGTCCAGCAGCCCCGGAAAGATGACGACATTCTTGATGCGTAGGAGCTCCGCCGGCCCGGACGGGCGTCTGACCTCCACAGCCGTACCCGTGAAGGCCACCTTCGACGAGGCCAAGCAGCACCTGAAGCACCTTGGTCCTTCGAACCGCGCATCGAACCCCAAGAACACAAAGTCCACCACTGTCAAGATTAAGCCCGTCCAGACTGGTGCACCCCTGCACCAGGTGCATAGCCCTCCGCCTGCATCTGCCGGTCTTCGCCCTGCCTCCGTTGCTGGCGACATTTCCGAGGAAAGGCACGAAGAAGAAAACGAGAACACCCCGCTCATCCGACCCAAGCTTACCGGCAAGGGTGGCGTCCACGCCGTGCGTAGGAGCTACGGCGTCGCGGGCATGAGCGACACTCAGGCCAGGCTCGCCAGCAGCTCACCTCACCATGAAGACGACAAGGCAGCCGGTCAGGTGGACCTGCCTCCGACTGTGCCTGAGAATGGCAACAGTCCCGAGGCTACCCGCCGCAGCCCCGAGGCCAGTCGCACGGATTTGACCATCATTGTTTCACCCGGGAGGGCCAGTAACTCGCCCAGCGTCACCAGCATAATTGAGGACGGATCTTCCACTCCCAAGCGTAGGCCACTTGTTCGAAGCGGTAGTATCAGCGAGAACGTGGTTGAGACAAGTAGTGGTGTGCGAAAGATCATCATCCAGGCCGCTAGCTCCGACTCGGAAGACAACGGATCTAAGGGTTCCTCCGGCCACCGCTCGCGTACCACTAGCCAGTCCAACATCCTGTCTAGTCAGGAATCCGAGGAACACGACGAGAATGAAAACGGCGAAGCATCAAGTACGGCGCCGAGCACAAGTACTGCCGGCCAACAAGCCAGCAAAAAGAAGAACAGACGGAAGAAGAGAAAGGGTAACAAATAGAGGAAGCGTGCGTAGGGGATCGTCGAATTTCGTGCTTGTATGATATCGATAGTAATTTGAGCGGCTACCACGGTACGCCTTTTCTGTAACTTATACAACGGCACCGCGCACATTACACACAATTGCATCAATCTGTTATTTAATATTTATCATCAAGTTTTGTAGTTTTTCAATGTGATGTGTGAACCCAGCATCGGGGGCTCTCTATATCCAAGCATTACCCATCCTTCTCTTTAGTCGTACCAGATGGCGTTCATGCCGAAGCCAGGCTCAGGGATGCGCAACCTCGCGACGCGGCCCAGGAACTCGTCGTGCCAGCGGTAGATCTCGATCCAGCCCTCCTGGTCGTCCGTGATGGCCAGCCACTCGTCGCTCCAGTCGCACGGGCTGACGGCGTTGCTGTGTCCGCCGCTCGTCGGGGTGGGGTTCAGGCAGATCTGCCGCTCGATGTGGCCGTTATCGTCGAGCTTGAAGGCGGCGATGTAGCCGGTCACGTCGAAGCTGTTGGAGCGGGCGGTGGCGAAGAGGTAGCGGCCGCTGTGGGAGAGGGTGCAGACGTCGGAGCGGTACATTTTGCTGTTGGCGCCGGGGATGCCCGGGGGGATGAGGGGGAAGGCGCGGTGGGTGTAGACGGGCAGCTTGGTGGCGGGGTCGATCACGTACTCGCAGAGGCGGTTGCCGGCCTCCATGAGGGCGTAGAGGTACGCGCCCGAGGGGTGGAGGGCGACCCAGCGGGGGTGGTCGCCGGGGTCCGGGGCGTCGACGGAGCCGACGAGGTCGAGCTCGGGGGAGTCGGGGGCGCGCTTCTTGTGGACCCAGAGCTTGTTGGCGGTCAGGTCGGCGGAGTAGAGGTAGGTTTCCGTGGGGTCGAAGACCATGCCGTGGATGCCGGTGTTGGGGTCGTAGGGGTAGTTCTGGACGTTGGTCTCGAGCTTGCCGGTGGGGGAGACGGAGAAGATGTTGCCGTGGGAGGCGTGCTTGTAGAAGGGGTTGCAGTAGACGGCGTAGGGCGGCTTTTGGGCTGCGAGGAGGAAGATTGCGCGGGTGTTTGTTGTTGAGAGGGCGGCGTTGGCTGTAGGTGTGGGTGTTAGTGATGGGGTTTTGGAGACGAGGTAAGGAAGGCATGGTTGATTGCGCTTCTTGAGATGGAGGAGGAGGAGCCTACGGTCATGGGTCATGTCGTGAGAGGCCTCGTGGATAATCTCAGACGGGCTCTTGACGGCGAAGCTGGACCACTTCTTCATGGCGGCGCCGTAGAGGTTCTTCTTGTCATGCTGTCGCCGGGTTGTGTAAGCCAATTGGTCAATGGCAGACAAACACTCCAACAGGAGAGAGGGTTCGGTCACTCACGCTGAAGGTCATCCATGATATGGGCTGTTCCTGGGGGATCTCGGTGCGCTTGACGAGCTCGAGGGTGAACTTTTCATCGTCGAAGGCGACGGTGAAGATGGCACCCGGGGGCGTCCAGGTGCCGATCATGAGGTGGTGGATGGTCATTTTGAGCGGTGTTGTCGAGAAGGACCTGGTGTATGTAGCAGCCCGATGACGTGTGAAGAGGCGGGAAGTTCTCGACAGGAGCATGGGCTGGGTGCGTCACTGAGGCGCGAAAGGATGTAAGAGAGGAAACACGTGAAATGGGATGGGGGAAAAAAGGGAAGAAGAGGGAAAAAAGAGAAAAGTCGCGTGTGGTTTTACGGTTCGGAATGACTAGGAGCGAGGGTTACCGGGTAGTCCCACCGAGGCAGCAGTACCTTAGAGCTCCGTCCTAGCTGGCTAATGATTATGAGAGGTTTCCACCTTGCATCGCAAAGCTCTTTTGGCCAGAGAAAGGGGAGAGGAAAGAAGCTCTCTCATCTGCCCCTCGTTTCCGAACCCCGGACGACGAGGGGCAGCGGTTGGCATGCGCATGGAGAAGGGCGACCCGCTGGGATGTGGGGTTTTTGGAGAGATGGAGGGGCCGTTCGGGAGATGTGGCGGTAATTGGGTGCTGAGAGGTCGCTTTCCGGCAGAGTGTTCTTCCTCCGCCTGAGCTGGATTGTCTTTCGCGCAAGACTTTGCTGCGGTGCCATCTTCAGGAATTATGATTTCACGGTCCGATGGTGATGGCTGGATTATAATCCGACGAGGCTGGTTCGTTCGATTTGATCGGGGGCATGTTTACAAGACCTTGGGATTTTGACAGCGGCAATCGTCTTAAGTATGTCTTTCTACATGTCTTCAATTGGAGTTACCCAGGGCTCAACCAGCATAGGATTCATGATTCGAGATTCATGATCCCGCGAGCGGTGAGGGACGAGACCTCTTGCAAGCTGCGTTTCTCCCCGTACCCACGGCGACACGGCAGTGACACCCGGCTGCTGGACAGGAACTTGTCGGTCGAAAAGACTCCGTCAGCGGAGCCGTGGCTAGTCAGTCTTCCGAGGTTCTCATCGTATCCCCACCCAAACCCCCTGTTCCCCCGGGTTCTCCATCTTAGCTTCGCAAGTGTGGTTGAAGCCAGCCACTCAGCTTCGGGCAGAGACAAACAGCTGTGTTGTGGAGAGCAGAGGCGCTCGTTGAGAAACTCATCTGAGAAAATATTGTGCGCGAGGCAAGCGGAACTCGGTTTGCCGTTGAAGACACTAAGCATTTCTTCAACGGCATCGGCATAAACCAGCATTTGAATTGACTTTCTTCCCCTGCAACGTTGGCTCGTGTGTTTTGTCTTGGGTGATTCGAGGGTGGTTCCATTGCGACCCGCCATACAGAAAGTTTAACATGCTTCACAACTATTAATCAACTCATTGCTCCCGTTCTATGCGATGTTTCAATCTGTTCTTTCATTTTTGGTGTTTTGTCTACTCTTAAGCTCTTATTGCAACATGTTGCTTGCATTTTCTTCAAGAACACTCGTCCCTGGTTGCCGTCAAGTTGCAACACGTAGTCTTTGTCAACGGCCGCAACTCAGAACTCCCTTGTCACTAACACAACCCTGCGCAAAATGGTCTTCGAGTGCGACAAAAGATGGTGCCGGCAACAAGAAGCCTCCAACCCATAGATTTGATCCTACCTTTACCCAACGCGTCATCGATACCATGGGTCCCAACATGACCCCTCGAAACCGGCAGATCATGAGCTCCTTCATCCGCCACCTTCACGATTTCACCCGCGAAGTCGAGTTGACGATGGACGAATGGATGGCGGCTGTTCATTTCGTCAACTCCGTGGGTCAGATATCGAACAAGACTCGCAACGAAGCCCATCGTGTTTCCGACATCCTGGGCCTCGAATCGTGAGTCTCAAGTCGCTGCCCAAAGAAATGAGTCTTGTGATTGACGATAGACTGCGCAAGACTCGTTGATGAGATTGCGAACAAAATCGTCACAGAAGGCGTCCTCGACCCAACTTCGTCGTCCATCCTCGGCCCCTTCTGGTCGCCTGATGCGCCCTTCCGTGAGCTGGGAGACAGCATCATCCAAGATCCAGCGCCTGGCGGCCGGGTTTGCAAGATGCACGGCACCATCACCGATCTCAGCACGGGGAAGGGCATCCCAGGAGCAGTGTTCGATATCTGGCAGGCGTCGTCGAACGGCCGTTATGATTTCCAGGACCCGGAGAACCAAACACCCAACAACCTTCGAGGCAAATTCCGCGCGGATGAGGAGGGAAGGTACTGGTTTTATTGCTACCATCCGACGGCATACAGCCTTCCCCGTGATGGACCCAGTTTCAAACTCTTGAACATGATGGATCGGCACCCGATGCGGCCGGCGCATATTCATATAATGGTCAGTAGCATGTTTCTTCTGAAGGGACTCGAGGTGGTAAGCTTACGCGATGGAACAGGTCACACATCCAGAATTCAGGGGATGCACCACCCAGCTGTACCCCAACGACGATCCCTGGCTCTCAACCGACACCGTCTTCGCAGTCAAGGACGATCTCTTGTGCGACTTCAAACCTCTCAAGGGCGACGACAAGGCTGAGCTCGAACTCGAGTACAACGTCATCCTCGCTCCAAGGGATTACAAGGCCAAGAACACATAACCCGGCCCGCAGGATCAGGCTGCGGGCACTTGGCCCTGTGGTTGCCGATCTCCAATTCTTTGCCAATTTTCCAGTATGTCTTACACAAATAATTTAGCATGACCAATAGAAACACACGAGATGTCTCCTGCAAGTAAGCCTCGGAGGAAGCCTAGGAGGCGCACGCTGCAGGCGTGTTAGACAAGGCCTCGCTTAGTGCTGCTGAAGTCGAGACCAACACGCATGTTGCCAAGTTCATCATTCTGTCCCATTCATCCACTTTCTCTGCTTGATTCAATTCGACTGATGCTCTCTCGTGGCGATTGGCGCAGCTCATGATGGAAACATTGGAGGACACCACTGAGGGCCTTTGGTCTTTCTCAGACCACAGCGACCGGCACCGTCAAAACGTCGAAGCCACGCATCCAGAGACGTGTCAATGGATATTCGGCAGCCCGACCTACGGTGAATGGGAACAGGACGAAGGCAGGGCTCTTTTTATTACCGGTCCTCCGGGCATAGGAAAGTCAATCCTAGCGTCTGCAGTCATCGAAGAGCTCCGTGGGCTGAGATCAGTCGCGTACTTCTTTTGCGACCGGTTCCCCGCTGCGACAGCTGATTCCTTTTACAAATGCATCCTAGCACAGCTTGCGGGGGATATTGGCGCCAGTACAGACGTTCTGTCCCAACTACACCCTTTGGCCAAAGAGGCTGGTGAGAGTGTTCTTGACGAGGGCCAAAGGCGATTTGCCTTAGATCTAGTGAGACGCAAAAATGACTACCAGAAAAGTCCCTGTTTGATCATTGATGGGATACATGAGTTGAGAGACGATAGGTTGCTACATCTAATCTCGGCGGTTCGAATGCTGCAAGACGAATACGACTTCAACATCTTGATAACTTCAAGATGCGTGTTTCCGCAGCTGGAGGTCCTCGATTCCGCCGGCACCGTGGAGATAACCAGTAAAGACACTGATGATGACTTGACACGATACATCAAGCATCGTCTTGAAGACAATGAAGAGCTGTGGCACAGATCGGCAGAATTTGTGCCCTCTATCATAGAGGGTGCAGAGGGAATGTTAGTATACCCGAAGTTACAAAGACAAGACAGCTAAAGGATTCGCAGATTCTTGTTCGCAACACAGATCGTGGACTGCGTGCTAGAAACATCCAATACCTCAGACGCCAGAAGCCCCGGCGCGTGGAAGACTTTGGGCAGCAACCTCAACACCCTCTTTGACAGGCTTCTAGACAGCATCTTGAGTGGACCGGATGCCAGCACTGTTTCGTGCGCATTCAACTGGCTGGTCTACACAGAAAGGCCACTCTCCATGCGAGAGCTTCAACATGCGTTGGCCGCCAATGCTACAAGACATCTCTGGAACACGAAAGAGCCTCTCCACCAGGCCGTCGAGCCTCTGTATCACACCGTCAATCCCAAGACGATCTTATCGGCTCTGAGAGGACTTGTACAGGTCGACAAAGGCACGGGAGTCGTTCGCTTCTTTCACTCGGCGGCGGGAGAGTACTTTCGACAGCACGCTGAGCGATTACCGAACGCGCAAGAGATGATCACCGAGGCTTGCGTCAGAATACTGGCATTTGCATGCCTTCCATGTGAGTAAGATTTCATTCTCATAGTAAGATATTTGCCGTTCAGCTACCGTAACATGAACGACGACGACGACGATGACGACAGCGACATTCATGACTGCGGAGAATACCACGAGGGGCAAAGCTGTCTCTGGCTCGCAGACCCCACAAGCAATTGTTCTATCCAGGAATCGTACTAACCTCTTTTTCTCCAGCTCCGAGCGAGGCCAACTGGGTTATCGAAGACTCTACGAATGAACCCAAAAGACCATCCTCAAAGTCATCCCACGACGAAGCGGAGTCAACCGAGCCGACCTCCGAGAAGACGCCATCCCGCAGCCCCTGGCTCCCTCGCATGATGGACAAGTTGTACCACCCATCTCAGTCCTACGCTCACTCCTACCAGCCGCAGCACAACCGGTTCCAAGTCAAGTTACAGATGCCGGCCAACCAGGGTTTCTTCAGATCGGACAAGGAATACGAGGAGAAGCTGCATCTGCAGCCGCTTCTCCAATATGCCGCGTGCAACTGGGGCTACCACGCTCGGTCTTGCGCAATGGACGACAACATCATGGACCTCTTGCAAGACAGGGTCAGGCTTGATGGTATTTGCCAGACGCTCACATATGAACACAGCGGCTACAACCCAAAGTTCCCCAGAGACGTGACTGGACTTCACCTGGCAGCGTATTTCGGACTCAAGGACGCAGCGATGCGTCTTTTAGATCTCGGAGTCCCTGCGAGCTCGAGAGATAGCTATGGCGAGACACCTCTGTGGTGGGCTGCAAAGCATTACCAGGAAGAAGTCGCGCGGCTGCTCAGTGAAAAGGACAAGGTCACCCTCCACCTCCTCATCCGCGCGAAGCAGACTTCTCTGGTTGAGTTCCTGCTCGATGTCGGGTACAACGTCAACACGACCGACATCGAGAAGTGGACGCCTCTGCACGCTGCGACCAAAGAAAAGGATGTCGAGATGGCAGAGCGGCTAATCCAAGCCGGGGCTGATGTCAACGCCACGGATGTCAACGGGACGAGGCCGCTCGGTCTGGCCATGGAGATGCGCAACTTTGAGCTCATACACATGCTGGTGGCCAACCAGGCCGACACCAAAGACCTTGACCTGGCGAAGATCCGAGCCGTGTTTATGCTCCAGGCCAGCGACTCTCTTGAGATATACGAGGACAAGCATCAAGGCACGAAGATTATGAGACAGATTCCGAGGGAGTTCTCGTGGACGTCGGATATGCAAAATGACACTGGACGCTACTCCATGTAAGTGAACGGTGCAAATGAGCAAACTGAGACTGGCCCCTGAAGCTCACTGGCATCACAGGAACCTCTCAAAGTTGACAAAGAAAATACCTGGTCTTGAGGAGCTGGGGCTTACTCACCTATTGGACTTCAAGAGAGAGCAATCAGCGCCGTTTGTGCTCCGAGTGGAACAGCTCACTGACACCACACAGGAAGGAAGCGTATGGATCTATTATCTGGAGATCGCGTTGCCATCGGCAGGCCGCGATCATGGGACCCATATTTGCTGGAATGTGACGTCCCACACCGACAAGAATGGGCTGCAGTCCTGGAGAACGACGGCACACCTGAGCAACCTGCAGAGACTCTGGCTCCCTGAGAAGGGCATCGAGCTTTTTCAGAGTCTAGTCTCTGAGGTTCAGAAGCGATGGAGCTCCATTGTCAGGAACACCATCAACAACATCAACGGCCAGGTATGCACTCAAACCTTCTGGGGATATTCGATTTCGGGCTAACAAGGAGAAAGCGACGCGGTGAGGTTTTGGAGGCAAACGGCAGCGATCCGAACCTCTTGGGCACGTTGCTGAAAGACGCATTGAGACCCGTCCACTATCGACGCCGGTTGCAGACTACCGTTACCGAGGCGCAGAAGTTTGCGACTGATTACTGCAACCGCCATGACGAGGTTGCCGACCTTGACGGGCTTCTGAAGCAGATTGAAGCATTCTCTGATGATGTTGGTAACTACATCAGTCAACTAGATCAAATTACAAGGGATCTCATCCAAATGGTAAGCATACACCCTGGATCTACACGCGCCATACTTACACTCATTCAGGAGTTCAACCTGGTTTCCATCAATGAGGCCCGACAGTCTGTGAAAATGGCGGCGAGCTTGAAGAGATTGAGTTGGATTACGGTAAGTAAGCCGCGATGCACATAGAGGCTGCGAATGCTTACGACACGGATAGTTCATCTTTCTACCTCTCACATTCATAGCAGTAAGCGGTATTTCATTCAGTTATCCCGTGACAGCTGCTAACCAGACCACTCTACAGACATCCTTTGGGATGAACATTGATATCCTTTCTGATGATCCCCCCTGGTATTGGTATCTTCCATTTGCCGGAGTCACCATACTTCTCACTTCGGCGGTGTGGCTTCTCTTCAAGTACAGCAGGGTAAGCATTCATATGTACTGTTTTCTTCCGTGCCTTACTAATATATGTAAATCCAGTTGGAAGATATGATCGAGAGGTCGATGGGTAGAGTACTGTCACGGAAACAAGCTGATAGCGATGGACGGCCAATGTTTCATTTTTGAAAATTGGATCACACTCAGGGCTCATGTTCAGTATCTTGAGAGAAAGGGGTATCCATGATTATAATTGCAATAGCAGAGTTGCGATATTCGCATGTTGTACAGGCAAATGTGCCACTAGTCTTACACTCTCAACATTCCCGGCTCAATCAGACGTGGTAGATGAGCGGTCGTACAAAGCTTTGAACGCTGAGTCCCTCTCAAGCAGCTCTTTCGGTCTGCCATACTCGACCAGCTCACCGGCATCAACGACTGCAACTCGGTCAAAGTCCACAATGGATTCCAGCTTATGTGCGATGGCGATGATGGTCCAATCCCGGAACCAGGATCGCAAGACCTCATCAATGACGCGACTTGATTGGTCGTTCAAACTGCATGAAGACGTAAGTGACTTGTCAAACCTGAAAGTAGATAGCAACATTACCTGCTCGTGATCTCATCGAGAATCAGCACCCTGCCCTTCCGCAGCATGGCTCTTGCAAAGACCAAAAGCTGCGCCTCACCCTGCGAGAAGAACTTGTCGTCAATCAACGCATCGAGACCGCCTCGTTCCTCGACCTTGCTCCAGAGCTGCACCTTCTCGAGGGCCTCGACGACATCGGAGTCTGGCAAGGTCTCGGTCGGGTCGACGTTGAGCCGCACGCTACCGTCGAAGATGTACGACTCCTGCGGAACGGCGACGAGATGGGAGCGCACGTATTCGTGGGGGAGGGTGGACAGGTCGATGCCGTCGATGGTGATGGAGCCGCTGTCTAGATCGAGCATGCGGAGTAGTGACAGTACTAGAGAACTCTTGCCGCTGGTCATCTTGTTAGATACATGATGAAAAGAAGAACGACGAGATCGATTGCTCACCTGCCAGTTCGTCCACAAATGGCGACTTTCCGTCCAGGTGCAACAGACATGGAGATGCCTTTGAGAACGGTGCCCCCTGACCTGGAGATGAAGTCAGTGTTAAATCCACATCGCTGCAACGAGAGGGACTTACAGATACGACGCTGTAACATCGCGGAGCTCGACTGCCCCGCGACTAGGCCACTCTCCCTCCGGCTCACAGAGCTCATCTGGGGCGCCCTCGGGCTTCGTGTTGGCAGCAAAGTTCCTCACCCTAGCCACCGCGCCCAGCGACACCTCGAGCATAACCCAAGACGTGATGAGCGCCTTGATCACGCCGCTGAAGGAGAGGACGTTGTTCAACGCAATACCGATGAACGCAGGCCCGATCTGCTCTCGAAGGGTCGTCACGAGAACGATCAGGATCAAAGCGATGACTGTGATAGTCATGTCCACAGCGAAAGTCAGCCACCTCTGAAGACAGCTGAGGAGGTAGCTGGGCCGCTGTGAGTCGTCCAGGCGGTGCATGTTGGTCGCCTCGAAAGCGTCTTCCCATTTGAAGGCTCTAATGGTGGCGAGACCTTCCAGCGTTTCGATGAGCTGCGTGTAGAGGGGCGCCTTGTGCTCAATGTCGAGGAGGCGCATCTGGCGGGAGGTGCGCAGGTAGAAGTGCTGGAGGGCGTAGAAGGCGGGGATGAGGAAGGGGAGGATGACGGCCATGTAGCGTGAGGATACGGACATCATGACGAAGCGGGCGATGCCGAAGACCACGCCGATGGCGACGCCGAGAGCGGCGGCGGGGAGCTCCATGTCGATGAGCTGGAGGTCTTGGCTGAATCGGTTGACGGTGACGCCGCTGTCGACGGAGCTGTGGAACGACATTGGAGCGCTGGATCTTGTTAGTTTTACTGTGCCAGATGTAGGGGATGACATACCGTGATGTAGTGTCTAGAAGAACGCTGTGGAAGTAGACGCCGGAGTGGTTTATGATGACGATAAAGAGGAACCTGTCGCGGGAGATTAGCAGGAGCAGAAGTCACGGCAAAGAGGTGTCCGTACCACATGCTAATGAAGAACGATACGATCGATCCGACCCCGAGAGCTGCGTAAACGCCTACCCACTTGCCGAGATCTTGGTTTGGTCTCTGCTCGTTTGCCTCAGTCCACCATTTGAGCCAGATGTCTGCAGGGCTGTGAGTTAGTGACGGGAGGACGGTGGAGACCGGGTGGCCGAGCCTTACCGGGGAAGGAGTCGAAGAATGCGAACACGACCATGAAGCCGGCAAACATTGACAGGCTGAACCATCCTGCCGCTTTGGCGTAGAAGCTGTACATGGCCCAGTCGCCGAGTTGCCGGGTTGCATCCGCCTGTTCCTCCAGCGCGTTGATGACCGCCTCAGGGGGCTTTTCATTCCCCAGACCAGATGCGTCGACGGCGGCATCCTTTGGGGAGTTCAACACAGTTTCTGGTTGTGCCAGGCTGGAAAGTTGGCTCGACGTCCATGTGAGTTCTGCGGCTTTGATTTGGCCGTCTTCGTTGAGGAGTACCACATCGTCGGCAAAAGGGATGCGACGGGCTTTACATTTCATGTTAGCTACAGCTTCCATGACGCAAGGAACAGAGACGGTGACTGACAATCTGATGAAACCAGGACCACGGTCGTGTCATTGTTGCGTAGCAAGCCGTTGCTACCAAGCAGGTTGCCGAACACAATTTCCTCCGTGCCAGAGTCAAGACCGCTGAAGACATCATCAAGCAGAAGCAACTCTTGACGTGCATACAAAGCTCTGGCAATAGCCTGTGATGGTTTAGCAGTGTGCTTCCGCTGATAAGAGGGCAGGAAAGAGCGTACCAGGCGATGTTTCTGACCGCCACTCATAGAGATACCCTTCGTCCCAGCTACTGTTCTGTCGCCGTTTGGCCAGCTCGCGATGTCCTGTTCGAGGGCACACGCAGCAATCACTCTCTTGTACCAGGCATCTTCAAAGACTCCGTGGCCGATAACAATATCACGAACCGTAGCGTTTGGAATCCAGGCTGACTGACCACAGTAGGTAGCCCCTGAGAAGTTGGTACGGATGGTACCCCTGAAAGACGATAGTTCCCCTAGAAGAGCTTTGAGTAGCGTCGACTTGCCGCAGCCAACTGGTCCCAGAACCAATGTGAAAGCCCGGCGTCTGATATTCCAGGAATCAATGTCAATGACAGGCTTGGCATCGCCAGACCAGGAGAAAGTCCCCTTGACGGAGACGACGATGTTCTCCGGGAGACTTTCGCTGCATGCCTCAGATTTACATACCTCTGAGAGCTCAACGTCCTGAGTCGGGGTGGGAAGTCTCATCGAGGTTTCTGATGTCACGAATGGGTTTGTCACGAACGGGTTTGAGGGTCTCTTCTCGCTTATCGTGGCCACTCTGGCGTCGGCCCTCTCGTTTCCGTTCAGGAAGTCCTGGATGCGCTGGAAAGAAGTGACCGCGGTCGCCGTGATGGGCAGGGCCATGATGATGCCCGCCAGAGGCTTGTTCACCAGTGTCAAGATGGAAATTGCCGTGAAAGCCTTCGAGATTGTCAAGACGTCGTCCGATCCGGAGGCCATGCCCGCAAACGTGCCGAGCGTGAGGATCGGAGACCATATCGGGGTGCAAATCACTTTCCTGCGTGTAAGCTGCCGCAAGCAGTGCGCGAGCAGATGAGTGTGGACTTACTCAACATCATGGAGACGCCAAGGAGAACTCTGTACCTCTTGGACACTACCAACTCGGTTCTGCGGAGGCTCTGTATGACGGAGAATGCGACGTCGTTGAGCCCGGATACTTTGAGCCACTTGATGCTGCCGAGGGTCTTGGAGGTCGTCGTCACCCGGTCCTGCGAAGCCTTGATCCATTGCGCGGATGCTTTGCCAGTGGGAACTGCCAAGAATCCCATCAAGATTATGGTGGCTTCAAGCCGGTTAGCTGCTAGATCCGTAGAAGAACAGCAATGAAACTACTATACCAAACACGAGAGCGACGGGCATGGCACACGCGGCGCCAAGCTGCCTGTAGATCAAGTAGATGCCGATGCCGATCTCCACGAGACCACCCCATATCTCGTGCAGCTGGTTGACGCCCTGGCTGATCTGCTCGCTGTCGGTCCCGACCAACGTCAGCGCACCCGCAGGGCTGACGTTGGGCGAGGTCAAATCCAGACGTAGCGCCTTCTGATAGATGAGGGCGGTGGTGCTGCCCCTCAGCATGGCGGCCGTACGATGCGTCCGCCACTCATACTGGCCCGTCGAAACCTGCAGCGCACCGTGTTAGTTGCTTACAACAGAAACAGAACGCCATCGAGAGATCCGAATTTGGACATCCGGTTCTAGAACTCTCGTCTGAAGAAACTCACTGCAATACCGGTGTAGACGAGGACGTAAGCGCCTATCAAGCCAAAACCGCGATTGCTGTACTCCCGGGTCTGGGGCAGGCCGGCGAGCTCGATGGCCTGCTGGATGAGCAGCGGCTGTGCGTAGTTGAAGCCGATCTGGCAGAGTTTCGGAATGACGGCCGCGGACATGGGTCCCGCGAACACGCGGAGCCAGGTGCTGAACAGAGCGCCGGGCCTGGTTTTGTCGGGGACTTTTTCATGTTGGCAGATAGATTAGCCCGCGGGAAGATATTTATCTCCCTCTCGGCCCTACGAGGTTGTGGGAGTGGGAGAATTAATTTACCTTGGTCCCACGCGTCCGCGAGTTTCTTGTAGAGCGGCTCGGAAGCCAGCTTCGGGTCGAGGGGGTACAGGTCTTCCAGCTTGAGGATGTTTCTGTATCCATTGATGAAGAGTGACGTCAGCCAGAAAAAGACGGAGCGGTTGAAAGTGCCGCTGGTGACTTCCTTGGAATATCCTTTGTGCTGCGGGACCAGGATGCGGCGCTTCTCGGTCGACTCAAGCAGGATCATGACGGCCCTCAGGGCCAGCGTGCAGGTGAAGATGGCCGGGATGGTCTGGTTCGGGCCAAGCATCCACAGGGTGCGAGCACGGGCGGTGTCCAGCAAGACGGACAGGAAGAGGTACGTCGAGAGGACGAAGGACGGCCTCACGGACCGGTCGTGTTCGAGCCATGATAGCAAGCCGACTCCCAGCGAGGCGAGCAGACCTAGAACAGCGGCCGGAATCGTTGCTCGGGTGTGGGTGA